AAAGCTTTCCCTCATTTAGGCACCCGGAGACACTACCAGGAAACCCTAAAGGGAGGAACCACCTGATACTAACGCTGCCTCAAACCGGCTACCTGGTACCCCTAGCCCCAAAGGAAAACCCTAGGTTTGGGAAAACCCCCTGAAACTAAAAGCTGCCCCCCATCAGGTACCTGGAGACACTTAAACCTAGGAACCATAGGTAGGGAAACCACCTGATACAAAGCTTTTCCCTATCAGGTACCGGAGGACACTAGCCTAGGAACCAAAAGGGAAAGGGAAACCCCCCTGTTACTAACCGCCCCCGGCCCCTCCTCAGGCTTTCCTGGGGACACTAGCTAGGAACCAAAAGGTAGGAACCCCCCTGATACTAACCCCCTGGGGCCCTCATCAGGCTACCTGGAAACACTTAAACCTAGGAACCATAGGAAGGAAAACCCCCTGTTAAACCGCTGCCCCTTTATCAGGGTACCTGGAGGGGCAAATAGCCTAGGAACCTAGGTAGGAACCACCTTTTTATACTAACGCCGGGCCCCAAACAAAGGGTACCTGGGGACACTACCTAGGAACCATAGGTAGGAACCACCTGATACTAAAAAGCTTTCCCCATCCGGCTTCCCGGAAGACACTAGCCTAGGAAAACCTAGGGAGGATACCCCCCCTGGGTAAAAACGCTTTCCCTATCAGGCTACCTGGGGCAGACACTAGCCTAAAGGGAAACCCTAGGTAGGAACCCCCTGGAAAACTAAAAAATGCCCCCCCATCCCGGCACCCCGGGGCCAAATTAGCCTAGGGAAACCCTTAGGGAGGAACCCCCTGATACCAACGCGGCCCTCATCAAAAGGGTACCCGGGACCTTACACTAGCCTAGGGAACCCTAGGTAAACCACCGATACTAAGTGCCCCCTCTAGGGTAAAACCCGGAACCAAATAGCCCAGGAACCCTTTTTGGTAGGGGCCCGCGCGATACTAAGCTGCCCTCAAGGCAACCCCCGGAGACACTAGCCCAGGAACCAAAAGGTAGGAAAACCCCCCTGATACTAACGCTGCCCCCATCAGGCTTTCCTGGAGACACTTTGCCAAAGGGAAACCCTAGGTTTGGAACCCCCCTTTATACTTTAAAGTCCCCCCTTTTAGGCCCAACCCCCGGGGGACATAGCCCCAGGGAAACCCTTGGTAAGGAAACCCCCTGATAAAACCCTTTCCCCATCAAGGGGTACTTGGACGGGCACTAGCCTAGGGAAAACCCTTGGTAGGAACCCCCTGATACTAAGGACGCTCCCTCATCTGCCTACCTGGAGACCCTAGCCTAGGGAACCATGGGTAGGAACCACCTGATTTTAACGCTCCCCCCCAACGGCTACCTGGAACACCCCAAACCCAACCCCGGAAACCCTAGGGTTTTTGGGAAACCCCCTGATACTAACGCTTGCCCTCATCAGGCTAACCCGGGGGACACAAACCTAGGAAAACCCCTTGGGAGGGAACCACCCCCGTTAAACGCTGGCCCTCAACAGGCTACCTTGGGGGGACCACTAGCCCGAACCCTAGGTTAAAAAGGGAAACCCCCTGATCTAAGCTGCCCTCATCGGCACCTGGAGACCAACTAGGGGTAAACCATAGGTAGGGAAAACCGGGCCCGATACTAACGCTGCCCTCATCAGGCTACCTGGAGACACTAGCCTTGGAAAAACCCTAGGTAGGGCCCCCCCCGAAAAACCTAACGCTGCCCTTTTTCAAAGGGTACCCCGGAGACAAATAGCCTAGGAAAACCCTAGGTAGGGAAACCCCCTGATACTAAACGCTGGGCCCCCATCAGGCTACCTGGAGACACTACCCCAGGGAAACCAAAAGGTAGGAAAACCCCTGATACTAACGCTGGCCCCCATCAGGCTACCTGGAAAAACACTCCTTTGGAACCATTTGGTATGAACCACCTGAATATTTTAAAGCTTTCCCTCATCCCGGCAAACCCGGAAACACTAGCCAGCAACCCCTAGGAAAGGGAAACCCCCTTAAAATTTTAAAGCTGCCCTCAACAGGCTACCCGGAGACACTAGGGCCCAGGAACCATAGGTAGGGAAAACCCCCCCTGATATTTAACCGCTGCCCCAAACGGGCTAAAACCCGGAACACTAGCCCAGGAAAAAATAGGTAGGAAACCCCCTCGATAAATTAAAAAGCTGCCCTCATCAGGCTAAACCCGGGGGACACTAGCTTGGAAACCCTAGGTAGGAACCCACCCCGATACGAAACCCCTGGCCCCCCCATCCCGCTCCCTTGGGGGACACTACCTAAAACCATAGGTAAGGGAAAAAAACCATACTAAACCCCTGGCCCCATCAGGGTACCGGGGGACTAAACCTAGGACCATAGGTAAAGGGAAAAACCCCGATACTAACGCTGCCCCCTTTAATTTAGGGTACCTGGGGACCCTAGCCCCAGGGAAACCCTAAAGGGAGGGACCCACCTGATACCCAACGCGCCCCCCTTTAGGTCCTGGGGGACACTAGCCTAGGAACCCCTGGTAGGAACCGCTGTAAACTAACGGGCCCCCGCCACTCATCAGGGTACCGAGACCCCTAAACCTAGGAAACCTTTGGGAGGAACCACCTGAAAAAACGCTGCCCTCATTAGGGGTCCCTTTGGGGACACTAGCCCAAGGGGAAACCAAAAAGGGAAAAGGAAAAAAAACCTGATACTTTAAAGCTGCCCCCCTCAGGCTACCCCGGGGACATAGCCCAGGAACCAAAAGGTGGAACCCCCGAACCTAACGCTTGCCCTTTCCGGGGTACCTTTAAAAACACTAGCCTAGGGAAACCAAGGTAGGCAAACCCCCTGATACTAACGCTGGGGCCCTTTAAACAGGCTACCTGGAGACACTACCCCAGGAAACATAGGTAGGAACCACCTGATAACCCAACGCTACCCCCCCCAGGCCTTTCCTTGGAGGGCACTAGCCTAGGAACCCCAAAGGGAGGTAACCCCCCTGATACTAAAAGCTGCCCTCATCAGGGTAACCCGGAGACACTAGCTTTGGAACCATAGGTTTGGAACCAACCTGGGTACTAACCCTGGCCCTCATCAGGCAAATTTGGAAAACTAACCTTTGGGAAACCCTTGGTATGAAAACCCCCTTAATAAATAAACCCCCTTTCTCCCCCATCAGGGAACCCGGAGACACTAGGGCCCAGGAAACCCCCCAAAGGTAGAGGGAACCCCCCTGATACTTTAACCGGGGCCCCCATCGGCTACCTTTGGAGGGAAATAGCCTTTTGGAAACCCTAGGTAGGAACCGCCTGATTTTCCCAAAGCCCGCCCCCATCAGGCTACCTGGAGAACCCCTATCCCTTTGGGGAAACCCTAGGTAGGGAAACCCCCCCTTTTAATTTCCTAAAAACTTTTCCCTAATTTAGGCTTTCCTGGAAAACAAAATAAACCTAGGAAAAACCCTAGGTAGGAAAACCCCCTTTTAATTTAAAGTGGGGGCCCATCGGGCTACCTGGAGACACTAGTTCTAACCCTAGGTAGGAACCACCTGATACTAAAGCCGGGCCCCCCAATTTAGGGCTACTTGGAGTCATTTTGCCTAGGAACCCCTAAAGGGAGGAACCAAATTTATAAATTAACGCCTCCCCATGGCTACCCCGGGGGGAAAACCCAAGGCCCAGGGAAACCCAAAAGGGAGGAACCCCGGTAAAGTCCCGGGTTTTGGGCCCTACATAATTTCACTGAGCTGTGGGTAATTGGGTTTTCCCTTTCCCAAAGCCCCAGTCCCTTTTGGGTTGGGGTTTTGGGTTTTTTGGGCTGCATCCTCTATCAGGGGGATAAATGCAGCAACATTTCATAAATCATTACACTATGCTAGGACTATAGATGCTGACTGGGAGTCAGAGCGACATGATGTCACTGCGTCGCTCTGACAGCTAAAGGCACATTTAGAGTCTCTGTACTCCAGTTAATGATTAATCCATTACTAAATTAATCAAAGATTATCTCATTAATCAATTAATCTAATTAATTGTTTCAGCTCTAATATTTTGCATATTTTATTCTTAAATACCGTTAAATCTTTGTCTCTATCCTCATCATGTTTGATTATCTGATCCATCTGCTCTCCTGATCTTATTATTGTCCAGGAAATACAATTTGAATTTGGCTGCAAAAATGTTTTTCAGCATTTTTCCTTTAGTGCTAATTTGTCCACATATGGCACACGCAGAATTTAATTACAGGAGAGGTTTAAACTAAAATCAGCTTAAATTGTCCTTTAGCCATTTCTGGAATTCAAAGTGTTTATTGAAAACAAACCTCTAAAATGTCTGGATCAAAGATCTATGGATCCGATCTTATTTACAGTTCTAGAGAGCATTCTGCATATTAATGGGAAGACTTCATTCAATTATATGTTTAAAAAAAATAAAGAATAGTAGTTTTTTGAACTTGAGATGAAACGTAAATCTGCAATCTAATTATATAATAAACAAAGATGGATGAAGTATTTTGTTGACATTCCCAGTAGTTAGAAGGACAGACTGAACATAAAGCAGTGGAGCCGATACCATGGAGGACAGGAACGCCCTTATATGGTGTTAGGAAACGCTGCATCATTGTGTGCTTTGATTACATATTAATGATGCTTTAGGGAAGCCCAGAGAGAAAACTGGACTTTATTATTTTAATGTTTTACGTTTTCCTGTGTTTTTGCAAATATTTGAACACATAAGATTATAAGATGGAGACCAAATAAAGTTAGGCCTTATAAACTGAAATGTTGTTTAATATTTAAATCTCTATTAAAATTTATTTTAATTATATTTTTATTAATAGGTGTTTAAAGGGAGGTTTCATTTCTCTAAGAAGGAAAAGAAACAATCAAGCAAGCTTTGTTTTTTTTTTGTTTTTTTTTAAATTGATAAATTTTACATTAGTAATGTTTGATAATGTAAGACCCAGCCTTGTGAATTAAATTATTCTGATTGACCGTTTCATTTCCACTTTACCCTCCAACATTACGTCTTTCTCCTGTGTTTGTCTTTCCAGACCTCCTGCAGGTTGGAAAAGAGGAGGATTTCTCTGAGCAGCAGCTCTGGAAACAGGAGAGGAATTCCAGTTTGGACCAAGAGGAACCAGAACCTCTGCAGATGAAAGAAGAGCAGCTAAAGCCAGAAGATCCCTGGACTAAAGAGGAAACCATGGAGCTCCCCATCAGTGAGCAGGAGGAGCAGCTGCTTCTCAAGCAGGAGGAAGGAGAGACATTTATAGTGACTCCTCCTGCTTTAGAGAAGGACCACATTAAACCAGAACCAATCAGCAACCAAGTCATCTTGCATGTCTTTAGTGATGCTCAGAACCAGGATCCAGAAGCAATTCATCCAAAAGACTCCAGACCTGAGGCAGATGAAGGGTTGAAACAGAGATGTCAGGAATCCACAGAGCATAAAGATGGTGTTAAAGGTTCAAAAACTGAAATACATGAAGAAACTCGCACTGATAACAGTTTTCACTATTGTACATTTTGTGACGATTGTTTTTCTCAAAGTAGTCACTTGGTTCAACACTTGAAAAGTCACAATGGAGAGAAACCTTTCCCGTGTCTGACATGTGGAGAAAGCTTTCTAGAACAAAATAAATTAACAATTCACATGAGAACTCACACAGGTGGGAAGATTTATGAATGTCCAACCTGTGGGAAAAGCTTTAAAAAGAAATACGTGCTGCATAATCACATCAGAACTCACACAGGTGAGAAGTTGTTCTCCTGCAAAATATGTGGCAAAGGTTTTATTCAAAAACGTAGTTTAAAGGAACACATGATGACTCACTCGGTTAAAAGTCCTTTTTCTTGTTTGACATGTGGGGAAAGCTTTCTAAAAAAAACCCATTTGTTGGTTCACATGAGAACTCACACAGGTGGGAAGATTCATCAATGTCTGACCTGTGGGAAAAGTTTCATGAGTAAAACTGCTCTTGATAAACACATCAGAATCCACACAGGGGAGAAACCCTTCTCCTGTGTCATTTGCAACAGAAGTTTTAACCAAAAAAGTAGTTTGGCTGAACACATGTCAACGCACTCAGAGGAAAGGCCTTTTTCCTGTAAGACCTGTGGGAAAACATTCAAAAGAAAAATGTTACTGAGTGATCACATGAAAACTCACACAGGTGAGAGGCCTTTTCAATGTCCGTCCTGTGGAAAACGATTAAGTCGCAAAACTCATCTTAACGAACACATGAGAAGCCACACAGGTGAGAAACCTTTTGAATGTCTGGCATGTGGAAAAAGCTTCACTCATAAATCTAATTTTGATGTACACAGCAGAGTTCATACAGGGATGAAGCCGTTCTCCTGTACGATTTGCGGCAAAAGTTTCACTCAAAAAGGTCATTTTACTGATCACATGATAACTCACTCTGGGGAAAGACCCTTTTCCTGTAAGACCTGCGGAAAAACGTTCAAAAGGAGAATCTTTCTGGACGAACACATGAGAAGTCATAGAGGTGAGAAGCCCTTCGAATGTCTATACTGTGGTAAAAGGTTGACTCGTAAATCTTACCTCGATGAACACATTAGACTTCACACAGGTGAGAAGCCTTTTTCCTGTATGATTTGCGGCAGAAGTTTTAATCAAAAAGGTCATTTGACTTCTCACATAAAGAGGCACAACATGTGAAACATATATGTATGTGTGAGTTGTAATAGTTGGAATACTCCAAAAGATTTTGATACTTAAAGGGTATCTCTTGATATAATACCAAAGTTAAGTGTTTATGGCATGTTTTTTGCTATGTTAAGGGAGATATAAACAGGACGCGTTACGCAGCAGAGTAGCATTAGCGCGTACTACACGTAGGTTAGGAGCCTGGCAGTTTTCCATTTTAAACTGTTAAATGATTTACACTGGATGTGCAATATGCCCGTTAAGACGACCTGGTTTGTAAGTATAAATCAGCCTTTAGAGATCATACTGCAGTGTTTCGGTTTAAGGCAAGACATACAGCTATGACAAAAGCAATGCTGATCCCCCAGCCAAACCAAAATAGATATGGCAGCACAGGAGGACGCAGGTGTAGCAGCTGCTTTCACATCTGTTAGTCAGAATCCCTGATTTCATCTCTGAAAGAATTCTGTTCCATTTTGAAATGGCTGTGATTCCTTTTGGAGCTTCTTAAAGGTAATAAAGCGGATTTCTCTCAGAAATTAAGTGTCCGGATTCATGTAAAATGACTTAATTGATGGGTGGCATTCTTAAACTTATCCCCCCCCAGAAAAAAACAAAAAAACAAAAACATTTAAATCCATAAACTCTAGCAATGGTGATGCCTACAAAACCTTAGCCAATCCACCCTGGTTACTGTCAAAACTGGATTGGCAGATTAGCACAAATGTTTTGTCAAACATTTTGGGTATGTACCGCCATGATGTTACCGCCATGATGCTCCAAGCGTAACTCATACTCTGCCGAAGCACGAAGGAGTATTATGCTTTTTTCCTGCTCCAGCTTAAATCTTTTGTGTAAATTGGTGCATCAATGGCTGAAAGACTCCAGACAAACCAGAAATGTTTGTGGAAGCTAGGATAATTAGCAAACATCTTTAGCAGGGGGGGAATTACCATTAGGCAATACTTCACAGTATTGCCTAATGGTAAGTTCCTGGGGGCCCCATAAAACTCTGTTTCCATGTATGGTTAATACAACTATTCCATATTTTTACACAATTATGTTTTTTATAAAAACCCTTTCACTAAAACGCCATCAGAACGCTGATAATATTAAGTGTTTCTCAGCCCCCCCTTCAGTGTCCACCATATTGGATCAGTCCATTTGCTGCACATGTTCAGAAAGGTCCAAACAGACAGCAGCAAACCATTTGAAAACAAACCATGCAAAGAGCAGTGTTGCCAACTTAGCGCTTTAGTCGCTATATTTAGCCACTTTTCAGACCCCTCTAGCACTTTGATTTCTAAAAAGCTCCTAGCGCCAAATCTAGAGACTTTCTTCTGCTACTGAAGACTTTGGAGACAACATCTAAAAGCAGCGAACTCTGCTCTCCAGAGCGAGTAGATTGGTAACCCCGCCTCCTGCTCTCCTCTATCTTGTCTGCTGTCATGATTCATGCAGCTATTATTTGTTCCAAATGAAAAATGGAGAACAGATAAGCAGATCATGGCTTGTCTACAGTGAAAAGAAGGACTGGGTTATTTACTTTGGCCTTTTTGGAAACACAGGAAGGAGCAATCAGCTAAGTGAGCTTAGTGCTTGGAAAAAATCTTTCATTCCTTTAGAGACAGCATGAAAAGTCAGCTGAGTACAAAACATAGAGAGGAAAACAAGAAGAAAAGGGACAAGAAGAGAGGGACACAACCTAGAACAGATAATGGATGTCTATTCTTTTTACATTTCTCTATCTGGATAATGGGGCTGTTTTATCTGTTCTCCATTCAGAGGGCCCCTGCCTGTTAAAGGAATAGTACACCCAAAACACGATTAGCCTTCATTTTCTACTCACCCCCATGCTGAACAACACTCTGGAGTACTTTTTTGATATCTCAAATGCATCTGGAGATCTGGGAGGCTTCTTGCTGTCTGCTGACATTCAAATAATGGAGGTCTACGGTGACCGAGACAGAAAGGTCCATAAAAGTCCACAAAAAACGTGTCAATATTCCTCCATACTGCTCGTCCAATGTATTCCAAGTGTCCTGAGTGGGTAGCATCCAGAATTTACTCGAAACGAAGTCATTTAGAATGTTTTTAGAGCATAAACAGTAGTGTATAGGATTTCCTGAAAGCGCGCGCCAGCGCGTTCAGGACGCTACGGAAGCCGGCAGACCAAACCAGATGAAAGTGCGCATTCAGCGTCTGCTCTGCCGATAATGCAAGCGTAGAAGAAGAAATGTGCTGTTTACCTGTGCAAAGAAAGAAACAACGAAAGAAAAATATCTGAGGACTTCAGTGTTGAGGAAGAGCATGAGTTCTTTGCCGAGCTGAATGCGCACTTTCATCTGGTTTGGTCTGCCGCGGTTTCCGTAGACTCGTGAACGCGCTTTTAGGAAATCCTATACACTACTGTTTATGCTCTAAAAACATTCTAAATGACTTCGTTTCGAGTAAATTCTGGATGCTACCCACTCAGGACACTTGGAATACATTGGACGAGCAGTATGGAGGAATATTGACACGTTTTTTTGTGGACTTTTATGGACCTTTCTGCCTCGGGCGCCATAGACCTCCATTATTTGAATGTCAGCAGACAGCAAGAAGCCTCCCAGATCTCCAGATGCATTTGAGATATCAAAAAAGTACTCCAGAGTGTTGTTCAGCATGGGGGTGAGTAGAAAATGAAGGCTAATCGTGTTTTGGGTGTACTATTCCTTTAAGCATCAGCTATAAGGATCAAACTTTTCTGATGTTAAAAATGGATTCTAGTTGAGATTCTCTCATCATAGAATCTTGTTATTACGAATTTACTGGATCACTTTTTATCAGTAGACCTTTACGGACAAATGGAATATAAACAATCTAAGATTGGATTTATAATACGGCCTCAGGATCGCTTCAAAGGAAGGAAGTTGAAGAAATTCTGATTTAACATGCTGGTCTATCTTTATTAATTGTTCTTTGCTGCTCATGGTGTCCATAAAATGATCTTGGTGGTTGAACTGTGGAGAATATAAGCTTTTTAAGGATATATAGCATTTCTATATTTGTAAAAGTTTAATGTTATTTTCAAGAGTACGGCTGTGTTTAATGTAAATACACAGAAATGGAACACCGGCGACCAGCTGGATGTTAAGACGATAAATAAACAAGCATTTCAACAATATTCTGAAAACATTTTTTTTAATGCAATGTTTAATTAAAAAAAACATTCACTGTGGAGAAGTCTGTTATTTGAAATCCAGAAGTAAGCTGTAGCAGCAGCAGTGAGAACACACTAACTAATTGTAAATATAACTGTGATAAGGCCAGCAGAGAGCTCTTCTTCTCCTGTACATTTCCTGCTGACTAGCTGCATCCTGGGACTCTGCTGCCTCTCTAGGTGAAACACAAAATTACAGGTGGGGGTGTTCCCTGCGTAGAGAACTTTTGTGAAGGAGGGGAGACTGACGCATGAGAACAATTCAAAAATACATAAATAGATGTCGGACATATCTTCCACCACAGAAACCTGTTTCATGCCTTTAAGATTTTTTAGTTAGTCACATGATCGGCTATAACCAAACTTTGCTTCCTCCAGTTAGCGCAGATGGTTCTGCTGGTATGTCCCTCCTTTCCCTACGTCATATAGTGTACAGAGGGTAACGAGGGGCCATCAGCCTCTCACCACCACCTCCCGATCAGGAATGTGAGGTCAGGAGAAAAATAAAAAAATCCTTCCAGAACTGATTCCAAAGCTGAGTCAAACCAGAACTGTTCAACAGTTGTTGCCATCTTCCTTGTTGTGCTTTCTCCAGCGTTGCACAGCTTTGTCGTCACACCCTGAAAACCCCGCCCACTTTGCATCCAGAACTTAAACACACATCTCTGCGTTGTGATTGGTCAACCAGTTCTAGGGCCTCAGGCACTGATCAAGGCTAGACCACTGGCAGGCAAAATGATTTTGGCCGCTGGTGGGAGGGGCTAATTTACGAGGCTTTGTGTGTAATTTTTTATATATTGTTTACTTCTATTAAAATGCTTATAGGATCTTTAAGTAATGGCCTCAGACAGTATTTCTTTTTGGTCAATGTTTGTTCAGTTTAACTGACAGTTTATTTCTGATTTAATTTAATCAGATGAGCCTTCTGGTGACACAGTTGTCTCTTTTCCTTGAGAAGGGTCTTTTGATTCCCAAGTGGAAAACCCTCGTTCACTTCCTCATCTCAGGGGAAACCATTACCCTTCCTAAATTCACCCTTTATATTAACTAATTTTTCTTATATTTAATCTATAAATATTTAAATTATGGTGATTGACAGTTTCTAACAGCCTCAACAATTCATTTCAGAATTTCAGGAAGCATCATGTCAGAAGATATTGGTGTAGAGGCCAGGATATAATCCCAGGTAGATCAGCCACTTGTGAAATCTCTGCTCCCTGAAAAATAAATCTAGGAAATCCTGTGAGATGCCAGTTGTTATCTGGGAAAAATATGTCTAATTAATCAGAGTTAATTTGTCTTGATTCAAGCAGCATTTATAAAGTCTTCTGAGGAAAAACAGATGCAGTCTTTGGGAGTCCTTTATGATCAGAAAAGGATTTTACTAAAACACAAGAGAAGAGCTGAGTAGAAACAATTGCATTGGTTTTACTACCTGCTTTTAACAGGTTTTTATGCTATTTTGCTTTTATTTTTGTTCTATTTTCATAAAAAGCATCTTGAATTGTCCATGTACTGAATTGTGCTATACAAATAAACTTGCCTTGCCCTAAGAACTACCCATTAACTATCAGTGCCATTCCCAATGAAGTCGAACTTGCAGCTGTGGAAGATGCCTTGGTTGAATACAATTGAGAATAGGAGGCCCTCTTCCCGCCGCTGTAAAAGGAAAGGAGTTGTTGCTATGGCAACACAGTGACACCCCATGTACATTTAGCTCCATGGTGCAGGTTGACATGAAATCAAACATTTGACCCTTCTTAAAGATAAATGTATCCAGACAAATAAAACAAAAAACTAATGCTCAGATAGCAAAACTGATAGATGCAATAATCAAACGAAATATCAACTGCATGATGAAGAAGGAATGAATTACAAAGTTGAAAGCTCAAAAAAGTTGATTTATCATTATATTATTTAGGACCTTTAAAGTAATGCCCAAGCATGAAACTGTTTAGAAAATATGTTGCATGTTGCTGCAGTCTGCAGTCTGGACGTTAGATGTCGCTAAAAATTACACACTGTAGCTTTAAGTACTTGCTGCCGAGACAGACCTCCCGTCTCGCACACCGATGAGAAAACGGACTGAAATATGAACTAAAAGGGAACTTTTAAACCAATTCTTAATAATTTAATATCTCATATGTATGGAAGTAGAAGGGAGGCGTGTCTAATGAAGCCATGCTTCGATGCTAGTGTCATCTTGTGACCGGTAACAAATGATGATAAAAGCAGACTGACACATGCTACTTGGTGGGATGTTGTAGGTAGTTGGGTCAGAGGAGATAACGTCTGAGGGTCTCATAACAGAATTATCTGATAAGGAAACAAAAGGAAGATGTCTACCATCTGGGAGAACTGACTCAAAACAAGGTTAAATGAAATATGTTTGCACTGATGGCAATTTCATCCTTAGCTCTTACTTTGTGTCACTGAACATAGAAGTTTGTATTTTAGATAAAGTGTTTGTTGTTTAGAGCTGGTCTACAATAATAACAGCTCATCATTCTTGTTGCAGAACCATACATGAGAAATCATACACTATATACACATTATCACACACTCCTAAAATCATTTAACTCTACTTATCTATCTCAGTTGTCTCAATTTATTTATTTAAATGTACTATTCATTATTTTAAATGTCTAAATTAGCCCATGAAGAAACCGCCTTAAACCAAACATTGAAAAATCCCTAGTTTTATTTGATAAAAGTCACTAACACCCAAATACCACTTGAATCCACTATAAATGTTGGTTGATCAGTGATGATACGTTCTCACGCAGGAGAAACAGAATGAATGCTGTAGGAAGAATGAAACTCTGTAGTCAGCTCACTATAACGGATTTAAAGCAGGAGTCCCAGAAAAATAGAATCTATAAATTTTATTAAAACATAGAAAGCGTACAGTTCATCTTTGCAGAAATATAAAGTAAAACAGGTTCTACAGACAGTCAACATATTAGTAGGATTATTTTGGGGTATAAATCATTTTCACGTGTCTAACAAAATAAAACTATTTTGAAAACATTGGACACATTGCTGTTTTCTTATTTTTTAACTCTGAGGGCTGTCATAGTGTCTGTGCAATTAGAGAATGAAGAATCAAGTAATGAACCTTTAAAGGCAAAGTCCGGTCATATTCAGAACTCCTGAAAGTAAATATGAAATTATTACATCCTCATTCCATACATTCATTATATCATACATTCAATAAATGAGAAGTGTTTTAATTGTGAGTCATTTTCATCTGAATGGGTTAAAACAGCAGCTACACTGCGTACAAACCTGCTGAGGACTTACAGGAAACGTTTGACCTCTGTCACCTTCTACAAAGGTTATGCAGCAAAGTCTAGAGTTAAACTTCTGTTATCGACCAAATACGTATTTTCCAACATAGTTTGCAAATAATTGTTAGAAAATTCTACATCAAGGTGTAGCTATGATGAACATGACCGACCTCCCATTTTTCTTAGAGCTTACACAAAGAGGGGCTGACTAAATACTGCATTTGTTCCAGTTATAAAACACAACAGAACAGCAGATTAACGGCGTCAATGAAAGGTTTCCCCAAACATCGCTGGACATTTGAACATGTGGACTTTGTGATGTGGTGAAAAAACGTATAGATGGACATTTTATCATGAGTCAAACATGGAAAGTAGCGCTTATGCGCATTCCTGTGGCATCTCACTGCTGTGGCTCCTAATGTCAAGCATGTTTTCTTTTCTAGAAAGCGGATGGAGACGTTGCCAAGTAGCTCATTTCCGCTGGCATTGTGTGACTTTCACCTCAAGTTAACAGCTGAATTCACAGAAAATTTCAAAACATTCCTTGATCCAGATCCTGATCTGGTTCATCACCAAAATGTAATCATTAGTTTCCAGTCACAATACGCGCCTCCTCTGAAAATTTCACCATAATCCGTCCATAGCTTCTTTAGTTAAACAGACAAACCAACGGCGGTGAAAACATGACCTCAATGGTGAAGGTAAACAGAATGTTTCCACATGTCATGCATGAACAACATTTCTCACCTCTATCAGTTGTCAAGTGCCTCAAATTATTTTTATGAATAAAATTGCTCAAGAGGAAGACTTTTTACATGTGTGAGTTCTGATGTGTCTGCGGAGAGTAGATTTATGACAAAAGATTTTTCCACAGGACGGACATTCGAAATTCTCTTCACCTGCGTGAGTTCGCATATGAGGAATCAAATGACCTTTTTTAGTAAAACTTAAGCCACAAATCGCACAGGAGAAAGGTTTCTCTGTGTGAAGCCTGATGTGACAAGTCAAATTCCCACTTTGAGTAAAACTTTTCCCACAAACTGTGCAAGAGTAAGGCTTCTCACCTGTGTGGATTCTGAGGTGATGATCGAGATTGGATTTGCGCGTGAAGCTTTTTCCACACAACGGACATTTAACGGCGCTCTCACCTGAATGAGTTCTAACGTGTTCGTCAAGATACGTTTTACGAGTGAAACTTTTTCCACAGGATGGACATTGGAAAGGGTTCTCACCTGTGTGGACCCTGATGTGTTGATCAAGGTGAAACTTACGAGAGAAGCTTTTCCCACAGGACAAACATCTAAAAGGCTTCTCACCTGTGTGGGATCTCATATGGTTTGTTAACAGAAATCTTCTTTTAAAGGTTTTTTTACACATCTTACAGCAAAAAGGCCTTTCCTCTGAGTGAGTTACCATGTGTTCAGTCAAGTTACCTTTCAGAGTAAAACTTTTGCCACAAATTGTACAGGAGAACGGCTTCTCCTCGCTGTGAATTCTGATGTGTACTTGAAGACCACATTTATTATGGAAGCATTTTCCACAGGACAGACACGTGAAAGACTTTTCGTCTGAGTGAGTTTTTAAGTGATAATTCAAATTACCTTTTAAGGTAAAACTTTTGCCACACATTGAACAGGAGAAGGGCTTCTCACCTGTGTGAACTCTTTTGTGTGCCTTTAGCCCAGATTTATTACTGAAGGTTTTTTCACAGGAAGGACATTTATAAATCCTCTCGCCTGTGTGAGTTCTCACATGAACCATTAAATGAGTTTTTCTCAGAAAGTTTTCTCCACATGTCAGACATGGAAACGTTTTCTCTCCCTTGTGACTTTTCAAGTGTTGAACCAAGTGACTATTTTGAGAAAAAGAATCACCAGAAATTGTACCGGAGTACAAACTGTTATCTGCGTGAGTTTCCTCGTGCCCTTTGGGTTTGGAACTGTTGGCAACGTTTATAGTCGTTATGGTTTGCTGGCATTTCTTGCTCTGTTTGGAACCTTTATCTCCTTCTGATCCTGAGTGTTTTGGGTGGATTTCTACTGAATCCTGGTTCTGAACTTCTCTCAAGTCCTGATAGACGACTTGGTTCCTGATTGGTTCTGGTTTAATGTGGTCCTTTTCTTCAGCAGTAGGAGTCTCCATACATTTATCTCCTTCCTCCTGCTTGAGAAGCAGCTGCTCCTCCTGCTCACTGATGGGGAGCTCCATGGTTTCCTCTTTAGTCCAGGGATCTTCTGGCTTTAGCTGCTCTTCTTTCATCTGCAGACGTTCTGGTTCCTCTTGGTCCAAACTGGAATTCCTCTCCTGTTTCCAGAGCTGCTGCTCAGAGAAATCCTCCTCTTTTCCAACCTGCAGGAGGTCTGGAAAGACAAACACAGGAGAAAGACGTAATGTTGGAGGTTACAGACAAGGAAATGTTTTTTTTAGCACTTTTCAGTACCCCAACAATTCAAAGTGTGCACACACAAATAAGAAACAATTACATTGTAGTGGCATACAAGAATAGAAAAGAATAAAAAAAAATATATGAACTAGGGCTGCAACAACGAATCGATAAAATCGATAAAAATCGACTTTAAAAAGCGTTGGCAACGAATTTCATCATCGATTAGTTGTGTCGCGCGATTAATGCATCATCCGCCGCCGCCGTCATCACTGCCACTTGACTGAAACGGGGAAGAAAAAAAAATACGGCAGAGCGAGTCAGCGCCGCAGGTGCAGTGTTGCCAACTCAGCGACTTTGTCGCTATATTTAGAGACTTTTCAGACCCCTCCAGCGACTATTTTGCAAAAAAGCGACTAGCGACAAATCTGGCGACTTTTTACGGTGTCACTGGCGGCTTTTGGAGACTCTTACGTGAAAGCATGCATCGTTCCTACTCCTGTCCCCCATCCCAACCCCGTTCTCTCGCAGGAATCCCTCTCAGCGCTGCAGTCAGAGAAGCAGGATGTTTCAGCGTCCAGACTGCAAATGAAGCGCGCATGTGCCGGGATTGACGGCGCAAATTGATCACAATAATTAAAATAGCCTTTATAAATAAATTAACTTGCAAATTATGAGGGCAAGGCTTTTAAAGTTTAAATCTTCTGGCAAAGATAAAGTAAAGAAGATCCTGCAATTTATGGAAGTAAAGCAGAATAAAATCCAGCAAGATCAGTAATATGTCAATTAATTATCTGCCACATTCCCATGTAAATATCTGTCTTTGGAGGATGTGTTTTTTAGCACCCCTAGTTCTCTCATTTTTATTCCAAATACAATTTATAATTTGAATCACAGGGCTATTTTTATCTCTATGGTTCAGTATTTTCTCAAGTAGCAACTTTAACTGCTATACTTTCCTGTCTTAAAAGGCAGAACTCTTCTAGTCTAAAAACCTCATTTGTTGAAATGGGGGGGCCTATTGTTTGAACCCATTAGAGGCTTTAAAAACAAAAAATGTCTTTTTTTGCACTTTATGAAACAAAGTAGCCTATATTTTGTGGATGTACAGCTACATTTCTCATGTAAGTTTGCGTAGTTTTAACACAAACATTTATTTTTCATATTGCACCAGTACAGTTAATGAGCAACCTGTACTTGTGTGCTTGTTTGTTCTGTCTAAAATGTTTATTTTGGAATAAAGAGGTTAATATAAAAAATAGTTTTGTCCGATTCATCGATTTTTAAAATAATCGTTAGTTGCAGCCCTAATATGAACATAAAAAAACAATAAAATGCTTTATAATAAAATTAAAAGTAGTAGACTAAAAATGTAAACTAATAATGTTTAGATGGCACAGTCAACGACTAAAGAGGTTCTTTAATCTTGATATCAAGTTAATGTGTGTGGATGGAAATTTCTCCTGTCTCATATATTTAGTTATGCTGTTTATCGAGTGAAAAATGTTTTCACTCAGTTTGTTTCACCTGCAAGGCTGAGAGATGTCAGAGTGAGGGATGCTTTTAGACTAATTCCCATGACAAGCCAGATTGTTTCTTAAGGTATAATTTGTTTTGACTCCAAAACAACCTTCACAGGTTTTTCCTCAGCATAAGTGAAGGAGACCAACTCTGTCTATCAGAACAGGGCTGATTACAGAGCAGTGAGGCTCTATGATGAATTTATCTGTCTTTGCAAAGATATGAAAATAAAGTGCAGCCTGAGGGAAACCCAGCAATCTCTGTTTATTTAACTCCGGTAAATAGTTGAATACTTTTTCCCAACTACATGTGACACATTTCTTCATCAACAACAAACAAATGAAAGAAAAGCGCATTAATATTTCACACTCAGATAATAGTTTACACTCCCTTGCAATTAAAAATCTTACAAAAGACAATCATGACCCAAAACAGGTATATTGTTCTGTTAATATTTGGTCAACTCCAAAAGTTGACGGCAAGTGATGCAGAGAAGGAAGTCTGGAAACATTCATTGTACCGACGTCATCTAGTCAGGTGATGGCAGGTTGCTGCTTGGTTTCAGGAATACTGCAATAGGGAAAGCAATTAGCACTTCTGGCTGAAGAAGCTTCTTCTCATGATCGCCTAGTGGCACAAATAACCCAACGGCTACAGAACACGACCCAACCTGTATTGCTGACTGAGGGCCGAAGAGCCTGATAAGGAAAGACCCCAATAAGGGGACAAACCCACCTACTGTCAGCCAATAACCCGTCTCTCCCCATCATGGAAACTCCTATCAGGAATCGCAGCAGCTAAGATGAGAGGGCAAATGGATCCGCTAATGTCAGCGGTGCTTAAAGGTGTTGGTAAGAGCAACAGAGCCAAACACCAACTGTGGTTGAAAGAACAGTCACTCTAGACTGCAAAACCAGACAAACACACCTGTGCAAAGTCTGGGTTAATTACAGGACAGCCTGTGATTCAATGCCACACAGATGGATCTGGGAATGATTGAAACTGTCCCAGATCAACAGCCCTCTAGGAGCCTTCATCGCAAACTCTGTGGGGATGCGGAAAACAACACTTCAAGCCAACTTCAACCCAATTGCAAAGATCTCCATCAAATGTGGAATATACCATCTCCTTTCAGCAGATGTAATGGCTGATATATGTATGAGTTCACTGATTCATCAGCCCATTCAGCATCCATGCCTGGAGATCATGTGAAGCACTTGCTGCTTCCACCATTTTCTCTCCATGACTAAAGCCTGTATAGATTTATTGTTTCTATAATATAATAATTTAGATTTGTGTAACATTTGTAATTGTTGTTTTAATCATGTAAAGGGAGGAAGAAGCAATGTCAGCTTTAGGAAGATTTCCCCCATCTCTAACCTCCAGCCTCCTGCTGCTCCTCCTGCTCACTGATGGGGAGCTCCATGGTTTCCTCTTTAGTCCAGGGATCTTCTGGCTTTAGCTGCTCTTCTTTCATCTGCAGAGGTTCTGGTTCCTCTTGGTCCAAACTGGAATTCCTCTCCTGTTTCCAGAGCTGCTGCTCAGAGAAATCCTCCTCTTTTCCAACCTGCAGGAGGTCTGGAAAGACAAACACAGGAGAAAGACTTTATGCTGGAGGTAAAAAAAAAACACTTCGCCTTAGTTTCCATGCATATAAAGATGCTTTGAAAAGTAAATCCTAAAATTCACTAAAGTGATTCAATTATAATCATAGGCGGATCTACTGGCAGCGATCGATGGTAACCATCGCCCGATCTCCTGGGGCAAGTCGTTTTAACTGATGGGAGAGTACAAATCTCATTGCATTTGCCCGCCGGGCAATGATCGCAAAAAAAAATACTGAATTACAAAAAACATTTAAAAAACATTTGTGTCATTGATCTATATACAAAAATGAATATTAGGAACTATATTTGTCAAATATTATACTGGGCAAGTAAAAATTGTTTCTGGGCAAATGAAATGTGAAAGTCGGGCAAGTGGTAGAAATCCTTAACGTCAACGCCTGACTGGGGTGGCATAGAGTGGCAGATGCCCCCCTAAATGACAGCCCTGCCACCCCTGCTGCCACCCCAGGTGGCTTATAAATTATGGCTAATTTGAGAATTACGACAGTAAATTTCTAATGTCGGACTGCAGTGAATGCAGCACGAGATGACGCGAGAGCGACTGAGACTGATTAGTTTTGAAACCGAGCGGGGCAAAGCGAGGGAGCCAACGTTACAAAAGGTTATATTGATTGGATTGAATATTGAGGGAAAGGAGAGTCCTGCCACTCTCATGGAGTTCACTCAGTTTTTGGACCCATACCAGGACGTTGCTCAGGTTGAGTAAAATAGGGGTCGTTTTACCTGTGAGTTTTATCCTGGCTTCTCTTCATTGGCTTCCTGTTAAATCCAGAATAGAATTTAAAATCCTCCTTCTCACATATAAAGCCTTAAATGGCCAAGCTCCATCTGATATCAGAGATCTGATTGTTCCTTATGTTCCTAACAGAGCACTTCACTCTCAATCTGCAGGTTTACTAGTGGTTCCTAGAATTTCTAAAAGTAGAATGGGAGGCAGATCTTTTAGTTCTCAGGCTCCTCTCCTGACATAGGGACCCCTTTTTCATCATTCTGCTTCATTCTATCTCTATTCTCCCACTCTGCAGAATCTGTTAGTTCAATCTCTAACGTTCTGCTCTCTCTGCTTTTTCTCATAGTAGCTTCATCTGGTCTGTTCCTGTTTGGCTGTGACTCCATCCTGGAGAGAAATATCAGCTGTGCTGCTGCCATCAACACCTTTGTTTCTAGATGTTGGAGCTTGGCCTGTTTTCCAGTGTGGTCCTGTTTCTCTGACTGTGACTAACTGGATGTGCTCTCTTCATCCTCTGACATGGGAGCTGGCTCGGAGCTCGTCTGCCTGGCTGTGTGTTTCCTGGACAGGGCCGCCTGTGGAGCTGGTTGACAGTTGCCTTTTGTATCTATGCTTCTTTTTCTATGTCTGCTTCTGTCTCCTTGAACCCCAGTGGGCCTCAGCAGATGGCCGCTCACACTGAGCCTGGTTCTGCTGGAGGTTTCTTCCTGTTAAAAGGGAGTTTTTCCTCTCCACTGTCGCTACAAGCATGCTTAGTGTGAGGGATTGCTGAAGAGTCAATGAGTCAATGCAATCAGCTGGTTTTCCTTAGATAGAAAACTTTGAATCAATTTGACTGGATGATCTGGTTGAACTGGAAAGTGACCTGAGATGACATGATGTGAATTGGAGCTATAGAAATAAACTGAATAGAATTGTATCCTGCGAACAAAGTTTTTCATCTCTCAGGCTCATAAAGATGTATTTACGTTCAACTATGACAGAAAATAAGACTGTCCAGTTTGGTTGTAATCAGCATGGAATCAAAACGTACAAAGGCATTGGGATCTAGATAAATTAGTGAAGCGTTTTGCCGAGCAACATGGAAATCACTGCATTCAGCTGTTATAGTCATGTTAACTTTATGTTCTGCTCTCTGGTGAGCCTTTACCGAGCTGCTACATTTTGTTTTGGCAGCTGAGAAAATCTGATATTTCCTTTAATAAAAGCGAAAGTGTTAAAAGTTAAAAATGTGATACTGGTGTAAATCCTGCTTAATATGAAGCAGTGTTGTTGTTTCTTTTTTCATATAAATAGTATGAAACTATCCAGAAATGACCTGTATGAACCTCCTCACTAAATGTTTTGTACTTTTTCAGACTGGAAGCAAAATTTATTTTTATGTTGCTTCTTTTCAGATTTGTGGAGATTTTGATGTAACATACAGAACCCGCCTTTTTGTTGATTTGTTGATACAGCAGCTCTATCTACAGCAGATCTACATGCATGAAATGTCTCTTTCATGTTGCCGTAACTGCTGTATGTCAAGTTACTGAGGAGCAAATGGGGTAAATGTGTGTTCAGAGTAAACATTACATAGATGTCCAGTACCTTGTTTGGGTGGCTTGACCCGTTTATTTCTACTGTGTAGTTCTGCTCACTTTAGTGCAGCTCAGTCCATAGATCTCTGATAGGTAACTTTTTCTTTCTATAGTTTCTTCTTGGTCAAATGCTGCAAAGCTGCCTCTCTGACAGTCAATCTCACTCATCTGTGACTCAGCACCTGTGTCTTACCTTAATACCTGTGATAATGCCCCTCTAGAAGTAGTGTTATCATTCTTCTATCTCCTATTAAGTGAGATCACATTGTACGATGTATTATTAATATGAACTGTTTCACATGAAACACTGACTGTACATACTATTGTCACCAAACTGTGATAACTGGGATTAAACACTGCTTCAGCACTGGTATGGATTGTGGAACAAAGGACAGCATACTAATCAATAAATAAATCTACTTTACTTTATATCTATAATAAACCATTATCCTCTATCTTTATCTCATATAATCACTACGTATTACTGACAACACCTTAAACCTTTACGTTTTATTCTTAATCATGAATAAACTAAATCCTCTGTTAAAAGGAGGTTGTGTCCCCCTGAAGGCGTTTACACCTCGGAGCTTCCCTTCTGGTTCTTTTCCTGCGACCAAACTACTTGGTTTAATTACTCTTTGCTCAAAACTTGCTAAATTATATAAAAATGACTAAAAACAGGAGTAAAACTCAACAGAGTTTATTCCCGTTGAGATCGTTACAGGACAGAGAAATTGCATGGAGTCGTCATCATGCAATGGCATCTGGAAAATGAGCCCCGAATGAGGTCATCTACTGCTTCTTATACCTCATGAGTCTATGTGCTGCATCAGGTGGATGCTTGAACTTTAAAAGTTACTCAACTAAATGTAACTAGTTACTACGCTGGTGAAGATTCTCAGTCTTCCAAGTCATGATTGTTTAAAAACAATCAATTGGACTTTGTTTCCAAAGTCTTCAAATTTTGGAAACGACAATCTGAACAATCTCTGCGTTGTGATTGGCCCGCCAGTTCTAGGGCCCAGGGCATTGATCGAAGCTAGACCAAACTCTGCCGGTTGGGGCTAGTTTACTGGGCTAACCAAATTGGTGCCTTAGAAACGACGCTGTCAAGGAACGCTATGGACAGCGGAAACATGCAAGAGGAGGAGAGTTTAGTGTCGGAGGTCGTGGATGAGTCTCCTCCGTCGTCCATTTTTTATTTAGAGGAGGAAAGCGGGGACGAAGATGTTGTGGAAGAGGACGCCAGGGCGGCAGAAGCTTGGTTTGGTGTAGAAGGCTTCCAGCCGTACATGTTTGAGCCCTTGCCTCGCAACGCTGCCAGTTCTGTTAGCTCTACGCCTGCTGAAGACACAGACGTCCATCCCCGTGAACACTGGGACGCAACTCAATGGGAAAGGAAAGGATTCTGATTTCAACCGTTGCGTATATTAGCTGCGACACATGAATCAAGATGATATGACCGGAAACATTTGATTGACAGATGACCGTTGATATATGATTGGCCGAATTTAGGTGTTCAGGCTGACGTAGAACTAACTGGCCTGAAGAAGATAACGGAAAAACCCCACAGATTTTAGGACAGGATTTTTTTTTTTTTTAATAGAAATTTTCTAAGTTTTGGGACAATATGGTCTGATAACGAGAACATTTATATACATGTTTAAGCCAGAATGATTTGACATTTAAATATGATTTTCCTACGACTTTAACGGTCACCAAACTTCCAAGTTTTCAGTAAACCTGCTTTGTGAAACGGAGCTCAGATCTAGAGTTCTTAGATCAGGGGACTTTCCAAGTCAGTCCCTTCAGGCTTAATTTAAGAAGCTGCAATCAATTGCAGGATTAGTTTTCTCCCCCTAGTTGTCATTTACGTTAGCTGTTGTCCTTCCCCATTCCACAGACAGTATTGTTTCAAAGTTGCAACCAATAAATATTAAAGGAACGCATTTAATTAATGATGCTCCAACAAGGAATTTACTGCTCTGCAAAGCATCCAGATTTTCTCAGAAGGTTCATCTGCAAACTCCAACTTTCTAATACGTAGAAACCCACCTGTTGAAACTAAATCTGAAATAAGCAGTCAAATCAATTGCCCGAACATTCAACACAAAGAATTGTTGTGCGAAGGTAAATCCCTTAATCATCATCTGGGCATTTTAATAGCATTAAATAATATATCAGAGCTTTAAGTTGTCTGAAAATATCAGAGAAAACATGAATAAAGATCTTTGGATAAATATGAAACGGTATAAAGAAAAGTTTATTGCTCTTTGGTTCATCAATCACAAAGTGAAAACATTAATACAAAAATCAAAAGCAAAACATCCCAAGCAGAAAATTATGTAACAAAAAATTTGTTGTAATAAACAGATATAGGCTGTGTCCAAACGTCCGCCCTAACCCCTAAATCCCTCAATGCCTCTATAGAGCGGGGACTATAGAGTGGACTTTACAGTGAACTCAGTTAACTGACCGTTCAGACAGATGATCACTACTTTTACTACCTGTTGGTCACGCAACTCTGCCTCTCAGAACGGTGCTTACGCCGTCTTTGTTCTGTGCCAGCGCCAAAACAAATCCCATGATGCTTTGCTAGGACAGCCCTGGCAAAGTATTAAGGGATATATCTGCCCGTCTAGTGACCATGGATGATCACTACCTTTCAAGGTGCATTTTGGGAAATTTGGAGTCCACTACCCATTCATCCACTAGACGTTGGGACACTCTAACCACTATATAATGCCCTATATAGTGGTTAGGGTTGACGTTTGAACACTGCTTCACTGCACTAACCTCCCTTAATCCTAGCAGGTAAACAGAACATTAAAATAATCAAGAACAAAACTATTACACTTAGTTCAAATAACAAAAATACACTTTTAAAAGCAGAAAAGATGAACTTCTAGAGACGTCTCAGCGTTAATTTAATACATCATGAATCCAAAAGAGGTCTTGATTCAGTTTTACACATCATCCATCTGGGCTCCCTCCCATCCAATGCATTCTGGGAAAGGAGGAACATTTAGCAGAACTTCCTGAGCTAATCTGATACGGCCAACAAATGCACCATGACTAACCAAGCTAATTTATTTACACCTGTATCCCTGTTGCTGTTCTTTCTGAGATGAAACCAAGGATTCTGACCAATCAGAAGTGAGAGCAGCCGTGTCCTGCAGGGCTGCCATGAATACTTTGTTTAGCCATAGGCTCAGCATCTCTTGCTTTAGTGACAGCCAAATGTCCCGCCTTTACTCATCGTACTGAAACGTGATTGGCCCACTGGTTTTGGTTCAGTCCTGAGTAGTTAAAGCACAAGTGGGTCTAGATGGATTCTTGTTTTTTTGTTTTTTTTTTGACACAGAAATATCTCTAGAATTCAGTTTGCAGGAAAGATTAGAAACTACAAACTGATCAGCAAAAAAGACTTTAAATCAAACAGAGCAACGGCTTCAATTTAGCTTAGCTCTTTATACAAACTTGTTCTGGTGTTTTAGGAGTTCATTTAATAGTGAAGTACAGACTCTTGCCTCCAAACCAAGTTCTTTGGCATTCGTTAGTTTCAATATTTTACCAGCTTTATAATATTACACTGCACCCATTCAAGTTTTCAGGAGAAAAAAAAATCACTGGGTTAATGAAAATATTTTTCCTAACTTTACTAAAAAAAGGCTTTTGATTTGGGATTTTCTCATGCAATAAGGACAAGGATTTTCTAGATGGACAGTTTTTTTTTTTTACAGGTCAAACAGAACAGCCTCTCATGTGTGTTACTGTGACGTCTCACTGCTGTGACTTCTAATCACTTCCATATCTATGTTAATTCTACTGTGATCACTTAACCTTAAATTGTGCCAAAAATACACTGCTCAAAAATAAAAGGAACGCTAAACACACCGTAGATCTGAATGAGTAAAACATTCTCACTGAACACTCTGCTGCTCTCTGGCAGTGCTCCTCCTGTTCCTCCTTCCACAACGGAAGAAAAGAGAACTTTTAATTTAATCCTCTGAGCTCTGTGAGCGCTAACCTGGAAGCTGCTGCTGCAGTGCATGCTGGGACAGCTGTCAATCTGGAGAACGGACAAGTCTGCTCTGATGCATGCCAGGTAAAGAGGGAGGGGCCAGAACAACATCCAAGGACTATGTCCGTTCTCGGTCTGCTGTTCTTGTGAATTGGAATAGCACTATGGCTGAGGCTGATGATGTTTCACGAGGACACGAGGACATGACAATGCACAAATACACATATTGAGAAACGGCCCAGGTCTTCCCCTGTGACTGCCTCAACTTAGAGATGGCGCTGCGCCACACAGTAAAAGGGCTCCAGAGCGCCATCTAAGTGGCGGTGCAAAGGTAGCCCTTTTTCCCTCATGGTTTTAGGTAAAGATGTTTTGGATTTTAAAAAATCGATACTAGGAACTGAATGATCGATCTATCGGGAAGCCAAAAATCCCGATATATTGCTAAATCTCTATTGAAATGCCATCCTGGATGAGCTGCACTACCTGAGCTACTTGTCTGGGTGGTAGCGTCTGTCTCATGCTACCTTGACTGTTAACTACCAACATTCTAAAGTGACCAAAGCATCAGCCAGAAGGCATAGGTAATGAGAACCGGTCTGTGGTCCCTACATGCACAACCAATCCCTTATTGAGTGTGTGTTGCCAATTGCCTATAATGTCCACCTGTAAACTATTTCATTTGCAAAACAGTATGTGAAATTGATGGCAAACCGTAGTGTTTCCTGAGTGGACACTTTGATTTAACAGAAGTTGGATTTAATTTAAGTTATATTGTGTTGTTTAAGTGTTCCCTTTATTTTCTAAGCAGTGTACTACAGAGCAGCTTCTAACCTGTGTGAGTTCGTAAGTGTTTATTCAATGCCATTCTTCTTTTGAACTTTTTTCCACAGGTATCACAAGAAAAAGGTCTTTCATCAGTGTGAGTTACCATGTGATGACTCAAAACACTTTTATGTATAAAGCTTTTGTGACAAACTACACAGGTGAACGCCTTCTCACCTGTATGAATCTTCATGTGATAAGTCAAGCAACTTGAGTGAGTAAAACTTTTGCCACAGAGCGTACAGAGCAGCCTCTCACCTGTGTGAGTTCTCATGTGTTCATTCAATGACTTTCTTCCTTTAAATGTTTTTCCACAGGTCTCACAGGAAAAAGGTCTTTCATCTGAGTGAGTCACCATGTGTTCAGTCAAAGCACCTTTACGAGGAAAACATTTGTGACAGATCGTACAGGCGAACGGCTTCTCGCCTGTGTGAATTAGGATGTGTCTGCTAAGAATATATTTACTAATAAAGCTTTTACCACAGGACAGACATTCAAAAGGCTTGCTGTCTGCGTGAGATCTCATGTGTTCTTTCAATGGAGCTTTTCTTTTAAATGTTTTCCCACAGGTCTTACATGAAAAAGGTCTTTCATCTGAGTGACTTACCATGTGATCAGCCAGAGCATCTTTTTTAGTAAAACCTCTGTCACAAATCTCACAAGTGTACGGCTTCTCACCTGTATGAATTCTCATGTGTTCAGTCAAATGACCTTTACTGGTGAACGTTTTGTCACAATTCATGCATTTGAACGGCTTCTCACCCGTATGAGTCCTCATGTGCCGAGCCCACTGACCTTTATGAAAAAAACCTCTGTCACAATTCACACAGGTAAACCGGTTCTTACCGGTATGGATGCTCATGTGATCAGTCAAACTACATTTATTAGGAAATCTTTTGTCACAATTCGTACAGGGGAATGGCTTCTCCCCTGTGTGAGTTCTGATGTGTGCTTGAAGGCTAGATTTAGCCAGGAAGGTTTTTCCACAGGTCGGACACTCTTGGATCTCCTTACCTGTGTGAGTTCTCATGTGAACCTTTAAATATGTTTTCTTTAGAAAGCTTTCTCCACATGTCGTACATGAGAAAGGTTTCTCTCCACTGTGACTTTTAAGGTGTAAAACCAAGTCACTCTTCTGAGAAAAAGACTCAGTGCAAATTGTACAACAGTGAACACTGTTATCTGTGTGATTTTCCTCATGCCTTTTACGCTTTAAACCCCTACCACAGTTTTTATGCTTGGTTTTCTGAGATATCTTACTCTCTGTGGACTCTTTATCCTTCTCTGATCCTGAGCATACTTGATGGATTTCTTCTGAATCCTGGTTCTGAGTTTCACTATAGTCCTCAATGATGAGCTGATCCCTGATTGGTTCTGGTTTAATGTGATCATTTTCTACAGCAGTAGGAGTCACCATACATTTATCTTCATCGTCCTGCTTGAGAAGCAGCTGCTCCTCCTGCTCACTGATGGGGAGCTCCATGGTTTCCTCTTTAGTCCAGGGATCTTCTGGCTTTAGCTGCTCTTCTTTCATCTGCAGAGGTTCTGGTTCCTCTTGGTCCAAACTGGAATTCCTCTCCTGTTTCCAGAGCTGCTGCTCAGAGAAATCCTCCTCTTTTCCAGCATAATCTAACAGGCGGTCTGGGAAGATAAAGGAGAAAAACTTGTTATTGTAAGCTACAGGAAGGACACTTCACTACAGGTTGGAACTACATCTCCTAGCATGAATAGTAGCTCTGAAATCTTTTATGTCATCTTTTATAACTAACAATCAACAACTACAGCTAACTTTTTCACCTACAAAGACTTTTGGACTGAAGCAGACCAGAAAATCAACAGAACATTTTCATTGAAGTGATATTCCTTCTCGTTTTCTTAAGAAGTCGTGGATTATGTTTGCTTCTGGTCCAAGCACATAGAACCAGTAACTGCTCTTCTCCTCATTAAGCTGCATAAGCCCAACCCCAATCCAGTTTTACTGGACCAGCAAAGACAAAAAGAAAGTTAACACTCTCTGAAACACTATTTCATACTGTTGAGGTGAAATGCAGCTAAGTTTTTGTCTTTGTTGCAACACTACTATTGTCCTGATTACGGAACGTATGCGCGATTGGCTAGAGGTGTAAATTTCCTAAGAAGACATGCAATCATTTTTAGGTACAATATTATGTTTCATAGGTTAATTCAAACAATCAGAAAGTGTGAATTAAACTTACTGCTAAAGGTGAAACTTGGTTGTTACATATACAAGTTGAACATCAATGACAAACTGAAAAACAGTCGACAAATACTACAACCAAATCTGCAAACCAACAGAAGAGAAAGCGGTGGCAAGACACTTTTATATCTGTGTATCTAATCTGTTAAGAATACAACTTACAATGAAACTAATCCTGCAACTTGACTGTGACAGTCAAGTTGCAGGATTAGTTTCCCCACCCAGTTGACATTACGATAGCTTTTGTCCTCCCATTCCACGGACAGTATTGTCCCAAGAAAAACAGAAAAAAACCTCCAAAAATAATCCTATATTTATCAGGCATTCAATGAGTTTTCCTGAACTTGAAAGTTTCAAACCTACCTTCTTTTTCAAACTGCCCATGTTTGTTCCCACCAAAAGTTGTCCGTAGGGTATGGGAAGTTTCCGGGGGAAAATTAGGGCGTAACAAAGTCGTACATCCCAAAAACAGGGCATACAATTTCTAATATTTTTAGTAGAGGGCGTACAATGTATGCCAATGCTGGAACTTTGGGGCTAGAACGGTGAATGCCCAGCCCAGACGACACCGCTGGTCTAAACATCTCCAAAGTATCTGTAGCTGAGGTTTCTCTTTCCGAACACTTTTCTGTCATTTTTGAAAGCATAATTTCCAATGACACAGACACATCATAAGGAAAAGTAGTAAGGATTGTAGCTAAAACATTATCAATGGTCGTGTTTTATTTGCCACAGAAACAAATCCTCCTGTGACTTTACCATCAGAACTCCACTCTATGAGGGCCTGCAACAAATGTCCTAATATTTTCACAGAAAAAGAAGTCTGGACATTCATATTAAGTCCAATAAAATAGTTGCCTCTAGGTAGATTTGATCTTGATAAAATTTCCCAATTTCACCAAAAATACAAAAAAATGGCAGAAAAATCATACACCAACAAATCTTCTTCCTGCTGTCTTGATCTTTTACCCACAGCTTTAGTTGAAAAAGCTCTACTTATCATAACATCTAGTTTAACTCAAATAATAAACACACCCCTTTTTTCAGGTGTTAACCCCCAGGTCCTAAGAACAGTAATTATTTAACTTCTGTTAGAAATTAACTTTGACAAACTGCTACTGCAGAACTACCGGCCTATTTCAAACCTGCCCTTCATCAGTAAGATTATTGAAAAAAGCTGTTTCAACAGGTAAACACCTTCCTAACAATGACCAGCCATTTCATCATCTTCCAGACAGGCTTCTTGCTAACCGCAGTGCAGAGATTGCCCTTCTCAAAGTGTTTAATGATGTACATATTAAATACAGATGGAGGTAGAACCACACTGATGATCTTAATGTACCTTAGTGCAGCATTCAGGATGGTTGATCACTCCATTTTATTAGAGATTAGAGTGCTTAGAAAACTGGGTCAACCTCTCTGGGACAGTACTGGACTGGGGCTGTGTACGAACCCCTGCCCTTACCACTATATAGGGCCCTATATAGTGTTTATGCCATTTCAAATGAGCATCCGAAAAAGTGGTGGACTCAAAATTTCCCAACTCACCTTGAAAAGTAGTGATTATTCCAAGTGCCGAGTTCGAATTCAGCACCTTCTTCCTTCAGAGGCCAGATTTGTTGGCCGATTATGCCACAGCGTGGCTCCAAGGCCTGGTTGGATTGGAAGGCTATTCCTTATGCGCCCGACAAATACGCCTTTTTGCTCGTTTCGAAGGACAGGTCCGCTGTATCCTCCGTAGTTCAAGCAAGCCGACTGCTACATGCTCAGAGGTAAAAGGTAAATGGTACCAACCAGTGGTGAATATTGGAAGTGCAGTTTGTTACAAGTATGTCACAAGTATGTGAAGAGTTACGTCTGAAATTTATGAAAATAGTTGTTTTAAAGGTTATTGAGTCAGAAATATGGTGGGTAATGTTTGGTTTACTGATAGGCAAGTCCTCTCCTCGCAAAACATCATGGGATTTGTTCTGACAACTAGCTGCTGTCGGGTAGTATGAGCAGCGACAAATAAAGATGGTGCATACACCGTACAGGGAGGCGTAGTTACATGATCAAAGGGGAGCAAAAAATAGCACCACCCAATCACTGACCCTCTGGAAGGAGAAAAACAGGTAAGTGACCACAATCATGTGATGGGAGATGATTCACCGTGTGAGTCACTTAACTGGTTTAACAGTTAAGTCTACGAAAAGGCAGGATCCAGCTGATGGACTGCCAAACGAGCTGCAACCTCAGTGACCAGGCAGGAATTGGATCCAGGTCAGGGATACAGATCAGACAAGAAACAGTTCTGGAATACAGGATTCTGCAGCAGTGTTAATTACGTCAACTAGGACGATGACATACATATTTTGAGACTAAGACCCGACGAAATTTACGAGCCATTGACGAATGGACATAAAGAAATGTAATTGTTTATAATTAATTTGTAATTGTTAATATAAGTGTTTCTTGAGCTTCATAGAAGATTACGCGTTGTTGCGCTGTTTGTCCCTACAGGGCACCTGTCCCACAGTGACTCGTGCCGCTCAGTCAGTAGTAGCACAGGGCTTATATGCCTAGCTCAACTTCACAGTCATTGCATGGGGCTCGAATAGCATTGTAGGGTTTGTTGGAGGAGCTGAGCAAAAACATGCCTGGATGTATGGAGCCATTCCATTTACAGGGCGAAGGACAACACCAAACAGTCTGCGGCTTTAAAATGGCGGGGAAGAAAACAACGAATCTCAAGCAACATCTGATGTGCCAACTAGGGCTGCAACTAACAATTATTTTAAAAATCGATGAATCGGCCGATTATTTTTTCGATTAATCGATGAATCGGACAAAAAATATTTTTTATATTAACCTCTTTATTCCAAAATAAACATTTTAGACAGAACAAACAAGCACACAAGTACAGGTTGCTCATTAACTGTACTGGTGCAATATGAAAAATAAATGTTTGTGTTAAAACTACGCAAACTTACATGAGAAATGTAGCTGTACATCCACAAAATATAGGCTACTTTGTTTCATAAAGCGCAAAAAAATACATTTTTGTTTTTAAAAGCCCCTAAGGGGTTCAAACAATAGGCCCCCCCATTTCAAGAAATGAGGTTTTTTTAGACTAGAAGAGTTCTGCCTTTTAAGACAGGAAAGTATAGCAGTTAAAGTTGCTGCTGGAGAAAATACTGAACCATAGAGATAAAAATAGCCCTGTGATTCAAATTATAAATTGTATTTGGAATAAAAATGAGAGAACTAGGGGTGCTAAAAAACACATCCTCCAAAGACAGATATTTACATGGGAATGTGGCAGATAATTAATTGACATATTACTGATCTTGCTGGATTTTATTCTGCTTTACTTCCATAAATTGCAGGATCTTCTTTACTTTATCTTTGCCAGAAGATTTAAACTTTAAAAGCCTTGCCCTCATAATTTGCAAGTTAATTTATTTATAAAGAAAATATAAACGCTGCTTAAGCTAATTCAAATGAAATTAAAAGTAAAATAAGTAGCCAACCTTATCACTGTCTGTAACCTACTAACACGGTAAGGAAAGCATCAGATGAGCTACCTGAGAAACTAACGTTACGTTTCCCCACTTTAAAACCAAACAAACATGGCCGCTCACCCTGCTGATCAGCTCTCTTCACTGCCATTGAAGGCTCCAACGTGTTTTCTTTTCCGGTGCTGCGTCATAACAGTGGTGCTTCCGTGCCATGTTCATTTGTTTTGACAAAAGTCGCATGTTATGACTTTTTTCACTTTACAAAGCGCAGGCTATTTTAATTATTGTGATCATTTTGCGCCGTCAATCCCGGCGCATGCGCGCTTCATTTGCAGTCTGGACGCTGAGGGTAAACTCCTCACTAAAATCCTGCGGCTCTGACTGCAGCGCTGAGAGGGATTCCTGTGGGAGAGGGAGAAAGGGGTTGGGATGGGGGAGGCGCCCCACGGCAGGCAAAAGCCGCCAGTGACACCGTAAAAAGTCGCCAGATTTGTCGCTAGTCGCTTTTTTGAAAAATAGTCACTGGAGGGGTCTGAAAAGTCGCTGAGTTGGCAACACTGCAACTGCGGCGCTGGCTCGCTCCCCCATATTTTTTTTTCTTCCCCCGGATGACGGCGGCGGCGGATGACGCATTAATCGCGTGACACAACTAATCGATAATTAAATTCGTTGCCAACGCTTTTAAAAGTTGATTTTTATCGATTTTATCGATTCGTTGTTGCAGCCCTAATATATATATATATATATATATATATATATATATATATATATATATATATATATATATATATATATATATATATATATATATATATATATATATATATATATATATAATAAGAGAAGCAGTGTGTGGAGAAGTTCTATTATTTAGTGTTGACTAAACTGAAAAGACTAAAATAGATTTTTTGTCATTGTGACTA